GGTTAGTTTCCTTTTATGCTTCAGGTCAAGTTCTCGTAATTAATGATTTTTCTCCCCCCCCCCCCCTCTTCACCCCACTCTTCCTTTTTCCCCCTCTTCCACCCTCTCGAATCGCCTGCTAATGACAGCAGCAAGAATTATGCCCACATCTATTGTTAGATTCTGTTTTCACGCTTTAAGCCAGCATAATTTATATAATATATCTGAGAGGGGTCAATAACAGTAAATTTTTTTCGAAAAAAAAAAATTTTTAATTAATTATTTTTAATTACAATTTTTTTTTCTATTTCCCTAATCATCATTATCAGCATTCAAAAAGAAATTTATAATGTGTCTTATTTTAAATATGATAATTTTTTTTGTAACTATAACTATCATCAACCAAGAACTTTTTATTTTGATTTGGTAATAATAGTTACTATCATTATTGATTAAATTGCAAGGGGAATTAAATACCGATGGACTTAAATCCTTGTGGTAGTTAAAATCAATGATAATTAAATTCAATGATATTTGGTCATTGGTAGTTACATGTAATGGTAATTGAAACCAATGATAGTTACAGTCATTGATAGTTGTAATCAATGGTGATTAAAACCAAGTGGTAATTCTAATTACAATTTCTAGTAGGAAAATCCACAGGTAGTTAAACTCGGCGAATGTTATAATCAATGGTAATTATTAAGTCAATCAATTGATAATAATTGATTTTAATTAAAAATTATTAGTGTCCAAAAATAAAAATTAAATATAACATCTATTGGATCTGTATACAATGGGAATTAAAATCAATTAATTTTATGATCAATACTTTTGCTTGATAACGTATTTCTTTTTTGTTTGGATTTTCTCAAATGTAAAAAATTTGTTCTTAAATTAGGAATATATACTTAGCATTTATTTTAAATTATTTTATACTTAAACTTCGTGTATTCAATTACATTTGATATATTAATTAATACATACTAATTAATTAAGAGAAGATTTTACTTAAAATTACAAATTAAATTTTTCATAACAATAAAACATGAAGATATCGATAACTCCGAGTCTTCGACTCGAAGTGATCGATTTCTTCATGTTTCATAATAATTAAAGATGACCGAGTGATAAAATCATTTACAAGAATTTTTAACTAAAATTCTTCTTTAAATCGATTATTTTTAATAATTTTCGAAAAAGTTCTTTGACAATCTTCAAATCCATTTGTTTACAATGTTCAATTTTACGGAATTTCAATTATTCGTAAATTCTTCAATTAAATAAATATTAGAAAATAAAAACTTAAAATAATATTTAAAAAATCCGCAATTAAACTTTTTCAAAAAAATTAATTTCAAAATTCAATTATTTCTAAAAATTCACGCTATATTGCTTTTAATATTCAATTATTATCTAAAATTTTAACTAAAATTCATTTTTAAATCAACTTTTATTAAAAGATTCTACTAGAATTCAATTATTTAAATACAAATAAATAATTCATTGAATAATTGAATGTTTCTTAAAATTTAATTCACATAAAGAATCGTTATTAACAAATTTTCAAATAATTGAATTCTATCAACGGATTTTAATAAAATTTTAAAAAATAATTACATTTTTCGAGAAATTTGATTAAACTTATATTAAAAATAATTGAAATTCTGCAATGAGTTTTATTATTTGTGAAAAGAATTGAATCCCTAAGAAGAATTTTATTTCTTTTGAACAATATTTAATTTTTGCGAAGAATATTATTACTCTTGAAAATAATTGAATTTTTGCAATAATCTCTAATTTTTACAAAATTGAATTTTTTTCGTGTTTTTAACTAAACATATTCTATAAATCCATTATTTTTAATAATTTTTAAAAAAATTCTTTAAGAATTTTCAAATTCAATTTGTTTACAATTCAATTTTACAAAATTTCAATTATTCGTGAATTCTTCAATTAAATATGCATTAGAAAATAAAATCCTTAAATAATTTTAAAAAATCCACAATTAAAGTTTCTCAAAAAAAAAATTAATTCCACAAAATTGTTAGTTAAAAATATGAAAAATTCAAATTTGCAAAGATTTTAATCTGAAACCTTTTCAAAATTCAATTATTTCTAATAATTTACGCTCTAATGATTTTAAAATTCAAGTATAATCTAAAATTTTAACTGAAATTCATTTTAAAATCAATGCTTATTAGATAACTTTATTATAATTCAATTATTTTAATACAAAAGTAAATAACGTATTGAATAATTCCATGTTTCTTAAAATTGAATTTTCATAAAAAATTTTATCTATAAATTTTTAATTATCTGAATTCTTTTCATGAATTTTAATAAAATTTTTTCGAGGAATTCGATTAAAATTGTTTTAAAAAGTAATTGAAATTCTGCAATAAGTTCACAGTAAATCGTTAGGTATTAAAATAACACCAAAAAGGATTAAAATAATCCAATTTAGTGTTATTTTAATCCATTTTGGTGTTATTTTAACACCTAACGATTTACCGTGTTTTATTATTTACAAAAATAATTGAATGATTACGAAGAAATTTATTAAAAAACTTTGTAAATAATGAAATTCCTGTGAAATTTTTATTATTTTTTGAAAATAATTAAAACTTTGTGTCGTAGAATTTTATTAAATTTTTTTTTAAATAATTGAATTCTTTTGGAAAATTTTATGAAAATAGTAAATATTGAAAATGATTGAATTGAGGAAAATTTTTGAAAATAATTGAATTTCGGAGATGAATTTAATTATTTTTAAAGATAATTTAAATTTTGATGAAAATTTTGAAAAATTTTTGAACATAATCAAATTTTTGCGAAGAATTTTATAATTTTTGAAAATAATTGAATTTCGGAGATGAATTTAATTATTTTTAAAGATAATTTAAATTTTGATGAGAATTTTGAAAAATTTTTCAACATAATCAAATTTTTGCGAAGAATTTTATAATTTTTGAAAATAATTGAATTTCTGCAATCATTTGTAATTACTTTATAATTCTCCAAATTATATCGTACAATTTATAGTATATGTAATATATTAATAATATATTTTATTATTGAAGAATAATAAGACCTGATTTTGAAATTTCGAAAGGCAAGTGCATTCGAAAAGGGCTTCAGGTTTATAGGTATAGCCGGTCAGTGTCTGCTCTACTGTCTCGAAGTTGAGAGTTAAAGTGATTAATTCGAAGTTGGCAGGTTTTCGTTTGCGTGTAATCTATCAAACGAGTCTGACACTTCCCGGCTGCTTCCGTTGTCCTGAAAATACTTGTGCATACTTTCAACGGAAGTATATATGTATATACACACACTATATACTATATATAGAATAAGATTTTATGACGCAGCTGTTCCGCAACTGCAAAGTCGGCATCTGCAACTCCCAAGAGTAATGGCATTAGCCCTTTAAGTCAGCAATTTTATTGGTCTCTCCGAGTAGTACTCTTTCGATTGTGTCACAATCCTTCTTGCCTTTCACGAGGGTCCTTAAACTTCTTTAAATGTCTTACAAGCGAAACATTTCAAGTGAGTGAGAAAGAAAGATTCACTTCTACTTCTAAATACTGAAATTAACTATATTGTATCTTTTAGTGCTTTTCCACACTCTCTTCATATATATATTTATATAAATTGCCAGCTGTATACTTTCTTAACGACTTAAAAATAATTAGGACATTGCACTAATTCCTTTTAAATTATATTAACTATTCATTTTATTTCGGTGTAAAACAAAGTACATCTTATCTAATTATTATCGATTAACAATTATTACCCCCATTAATTTAACAACTTCTTAAATTAATTACATCTAATTGAAATCTATTATCTAATTGCCTAATTTGCTCCAAGAATCGGATATTGAAATATTTCCATTAATTTTCAATAATAATTACTGTAATAATTAATATTATTAATAATAGTAACAAGATTTCATGATCCAGTTTCGAACGAAATAAAAAAAAATCCCTTTTTTTGAAGAAAAAAAGATTTTCGAGAACCTAAAAACTTGAAAATTTTCTGTGATACAAAAATGAGTTTAATTAATTTTTTCTGAGCTCTTTTTTCGAAACTTTTCTAACAAGGAGTAACTTTAACTTATTGGAGTTAGGACAATCTTCAATTAAAACTTTATCGTCTTTATCCGGAAAGTTTTGTATTTTAAAAGATAACAGAAGAATCACGTACACTTTTATCCCTGTGACTTACATAAAAGATAAAAAGTGAATTCTTTTATTTTCTGTGTATTTACGTAGAAAAAATTAAAAGAAAAAAAGATATATTCCAAAATAAAAAAAAGAAACGTGAAATTCAAATTTCCAAGTTCCAACGACAGCAATTTAATTTTTTTGTTGTTTGTTGAAAAAAAATACACCATTTTCTGAACGAAAACTTAAGTAAAGAAGAGTAGCTTTTATAATTTATTTCTCAAGGGAGACAGATTTTATTTTTCCTCATAAGAAAAAGAATTTTCTTTTTTTCTAATAGTTCTCAAATCTTTGCTTTTTAAAATGATTAATTATAAGAAACAATTATAAATTTTATCACTTTTTTTTATAATTTTTTTTATAATTATGAAAAAAACTATAAAAGTTATAAAATAAATAAAATAGTAAATAAATAAACAATTCAATTATTATTGTAATTTATAATATTATTCATTTTATAACTGAAAGGAAACGATTTTATGTATTCTATTTGTTTCGTCTCGTTTATGAGAGAACTTTCATGCCATCTAGGCGGCAATTTAAAGAACTTTTGGCTCGAAAATTCAAAAAATGAAAAATTAAATTAAAATATATTAATGTTAATAATAAATAAAGTAAATAATAATAATAACAATATTAATAATAATTTATTATTCTTATTATTATAAAAAAAATAATAATAATAATGAATTAATAATAAAGAATAAAAATAATTAGTCTAGTAATATTAAAAGACTCGACTAGAACAATTTACCGAATTTAATGACAAAAAATTTTTTTTTAAATTTTTTCCAGGAAACGTATTTGTTATAGCAGCAATTGTACTGGAAAGGAATTTGCAATCAGTGGCAAATTACTTAATCGTGAGTTTGGCCGTTGCAGATCTCATGGTTGCCTGTCTAGTCATGCCTTTGGGAGCTGTTTACGAGGTATGAAATTTACAATAATTATTGTACACATTAGATCTCAGAAATTAACAAGCACTACCGTTATTATTGTAAATTGAATTTAAATTACAAATTATTCCATTAAAATCTCATTAAATTCAATCTAATCAATTTTAATAATTTATCGCATTGATGACAATTTTCCTGCAAGTAAAATACATTATCGCAATTGCTTACAATTTAATTAAACTTTGTAATTAAGAAAATAATTACATTAATTAATTCAATTAATTAACTTAATTCCGGTATTTTAATTAACTTATTTATAATTAATTATAATTAATTAACTTATTTATTTATAATAAAAATAATTAAAAATAAATCTATTAGCTTGAATTATATAAATTAATTCATTTATTTCTTTATAACAAAAATCGACAAAACGATAAAATTATTGAACTGCATAAATGCGAGTATATTCCTATTAATTGTATTTTTAAAACCAAAAGTAAATTTTCTAGAAAATAGTATTTTTTTTCTTCAATTCTTCAATTCTCGCTTTATTCGAAATTAATTTTTTTTAAAATACGAGAACATTACGAGAACATTAAAAGCGCTGGTGGTTTTTTTTATTATTTATTAATACCGATTGTGTTCGGTTTATTAATTACTTTCCAATATTCTGTGACTATAAACTTTTCCACATAATCGCCGATATTATACAATACTATTTTTTTATAAAATAATTTTTTTCACAATTGCTAAAAAAATTTTTTTCACTATATAAACTTTAATTTACTGCAAAAAAATTTTTTTGCAGTAAATTAAAGTTTATATAGTGTACAAATGTTCTCTTATTATTTTTTGTAAACCCATTAGACCAATAATCTAACACTTGAATTAATAATCTCAGAATACAATTTATTCTCCAGTTAGAAAAAGTTTAATTAAAAAAAATTTTTATCTACGGAAAGAATTTTTTATTAAAAAAAAGAAAATAATAATAAAATAATATTTATGTCTCTCATTATTATTGATGTCACTTTTTCGGGGCAACAAAAAACATTTTATCAACGTAAACGTAAATTAGTGCCCTCATTAACAAAAAAAGCGTATTTGACATTTTTTGAAAAATAGTTACAACTCTTTAAAAAGTTATAAAATTTATGTACATATCATAAGTTAAATAAACGTTAAATCATTATTATTATTTTTTTTGGACTAAAGTTTGAAAGTCTGTCCCCGGACGCTAATGACATCATTAGAGAGCAGACACTTTTAAATAAATTGTTTTCTTTCAAAATAAATGAAGGAGACACTAGTTAATTAAGCGGAATTCTGCACAAGGTGCGCATCAAATGGGGGGATAAATGGAAAACAATTATCATCAATAATTATATTTCCCTGAAAATTCCAAATTAAAATCAATTATATTTTGAAAAATTATAGAAAAAATAATATTTTTTTCTATTATAATTATCATTCTTGTTATAATAATAATAACAATAATTATTATTATTTTTACTATTATTTTTATTTTGATAAATTATTGTCGTTCTATTAATTTCCAATATATAGAGAATTAAGCCAAATTGCCTTTTATATCTTAATTTTCAATTAATGACCAATCAATCGGTATATTAATTATTATTTCAAATTATATTGATCAATCAGTGAAATTAATACGATTTCTCTGCGTTTAGTTTACATTCCATTATTACATTAATTAATTCACTTTTGAGATATAACAAACGCAAAATCAATATTTTGTTTCGAAATTTTATAAATATTTAAAATTTTCCAATTAGTCGAAAATTTTTCCAGGGAAATGAAACAAATTTATTAATTGAATAATTAATGAGCTATTTGTAGTAAGAAAATTAATAGACGAAAATTTTCTATTGAAAAAAATTTTTTATATAAATTATTAAAAGAATAAACTGTTCTTCGTGTACAAGTTTAAAAAAAAATTTTAATTTTATTTCCTTTAAGAATTTTGTTGAAAATAATTGAATTCCTAAAAAGTATTTTACTATTTATAAAAATAATTGAATTCTTGCGAACGAATTTATAAGAATTTTTTTAAATAATTGAATTTCTAAGAAAAATTTTATTACTTTTAAAAATAATTGAATTTTGCAAACAATTTTATTAAAATGCCTGAAAATAATTGAATTTTCGGGAATAATATTGTTATTTATCGACATAATTGAATTCTTTCGAAAAATTATTTATGTAAATAATTGAATTCTTGGATACAATTTTATTTTACAACCATAAAAAAATAATTGAATTATTTCACAAAAAAATTTAATTAAAATTGTATTTAAAATAATTGATTTCTTTCGAATAATTTTATTAAAATATTTGAAAATAATTGAATTCCTATAAAAAAATCTAATATTTTTGTAAATAATTGAATTCTTCCAAAGAATTAAAAAAATTTTTGTTAATAATTGATATTTTTGAAGAATTAAAAATAATTGAAATCCTGCGATGAGTTTTATTATTTATGAAAATAATTAATTAGTTGCAAAGAATTTTATTAAAATGTTTAAAAAGAATTGAATTTCTGTGAAAAATTGTGTTACTTTTGAAAATAATTGAATTCTTTGTAAGAATTTTATAAAAATTGTTTTAAATAATTCATTTTTCCGAAATATAATAAATATTATGAAAATTTTATTTTAAATAATTGAATTGTTGTGGAAAACTTTATTTGTGAAAATAATTGAATTTTTCGATTAATTAAATTTAAATATAGTATTAAAAATAATTGAAATTCTTCGATGAGTTTTATTATTCATGAAAATAATTGAATTTTTGATGAATTTTATCAATTTTTTTTTTAAATAATTGAATTCTTTTGCGAAATTTTATGAAAATACTAGATATTAAAAATAATTGAATTATTCTAAAGAATTTGATTATAATTTTTGAGAATAGTAAATTGTACGTTTTAGTAGATGAGTGCGAAGCCTGGAATAATAATATTAATTACAATAATAGTAATGATAAAAAAATAACTATTTTTTTAAATTGTATTACCTATTATAATATTATTCATTTATTATTATTTTTGTTATTTGTTTATAAATATTAAGGCAATGAATAAATATTTTATTTGAGTAAATAAATGGATATTATTTGAAAGAATGTATGAATTTTTTATTCATTAATTAATTTCATTTTATTATAAAAAAATATTAGTATTATTTTTGTTATTTATTTATTAGTTAATAGTAGTTATAAAAATTATATTATAATTGTTATTATTGTTATATTATTGTCATAATTATAATGTCGGTAAAAATTTATCATTAAATAATAAATAAAATAAATAATAAAAAAAATAATAAATAAAAATTCAGTGGAAAATTATTTTAGAGATAAATCTGATGAAAAAAAAGAATTAAAATTTTTCTGACATTGAGAGACAATAATCATAAATTAATAGAACGAGTAGAACAAGAATAAAAAAGTAGAGTGACAGAAAGGATTATTTATCATTCTTTCCTATGTATATGTATGTATATTTGGATAAGCCGCAGTCGGGCAATATTGAGAGTTATATTTCATGTTAATCGATCTCCGATATAGACTTTTCTCTCTGTATACAACGCAACTAAGCGTAACTGTCATTACAGCTATTATAAATATTATTTATTAGTTTCATTTTTAAACATCCCTATTAATTATTTGTTGTTTCTCGTTTTCATACCATAACACACAAACGATTGTTATTGCCAATTTGACAATTATTGTATGTTTTCCCTCTTCCATGTTATTCAACAAACTGTGATCGTAATTATATATAATAAATATGAAGAATATAAAGAATTATTTCAAAATCCATTGTTTAAAATTTTGCATTAATTTTGACTGTATTTACTATTTAGTAACTATATTTTATCCTTTTAATGGCGCTGGAAATTTTAACGTTCAAATAAACGAATTTATTTTATTAATAGCGCTGAAATTTTGAAAGTTCAAATAAACGAATTTATTTGTTTTAATTCAAATAGTAATAATTTTGGGTCGCGTAGAAATAATTATAATTAATTAATTAATAATATAATGAATAATTCCAAACTATTTAATTTACTTGCTCGTTTTCTCGCGTGACAAATGTTTAAATTTATTTATTCGTTGCTTTGAGATTATAAATTTTTTGAAAATTGATTCCTATTTTTTCTTACTACGTTTAAAGAAAAACAATTGAATTTACAATGTATAATATTTGTAATTTGATTAATGAATAAATATTTTTATTTACAATTCAATGTAAGTTAATAAACTTAATAAGAAAATAAACTACCTAAAATAAAATAGAGAAGAAAAAGAATTTTTCGATAAAATTGAGTTTGAATTTATTTTTATTTATTTTTTGAAAATTCAATTTTTATTACGTGTCAAGGCATCTTCCCTTTAACTTTAGTCGATTTCACTGTGTGCCATCTGTTCAAACCAACTTTTCTTGTGGAAAGTTACTTCCGGTCACGTTACAAACGTAAGTTTCAGTGTGACACGGACTTGAACAATAGATAGCGTGTCTGAATGTAATATTGATTCGTACAGCATAGGGAATTATTCGAGATATCTTGAAACAGCCCTTGAATTTTCGAGGACAAACTAAATTTTTCCAAAATGGACAAGTTTTTTCCAAAGAAAAATTTTCTTTTCAAAATTTTTTTTTTTTAAACAGTTTCTTTAAAAAAATGTTTTGAAAAAACAATGTTCTTTTAAATCACTTTTGTCTTCTGTCCATCTTCTTTACACTTCTAATTTCGACTAATTCTTTTGATCAGTTCGACTTTTAATATCGAGTCTCACTTATTGAGATTTTACTGTATTTCATCTTAATATATTATTTTTATTATTTAATTTAATTTTTTTAAAATAAATTTAATTTAATTTTTTCTCATTAAGTAATTTGTATATTTAATTCAAATTAATTGTAATTAAGTTATTATACAGTCATCTCTGGATAATAAAATTCATGTAGAATTTTCTAATAAAAATTGATTTAAAAATGAATTTTA